GGGGAAAAATTCATCAACTAGCCCTTCATAATCTTAAACGAAATACAACGAAATGAAAGTCTCCCCAACTATCTCAACAGAATCATTAAAATCCATCTATTATTCGTATCTGAGCGATAGCGAAATTACATACAAAAAGTGTATTGCTGCGTCTTCGTCATGGATGATGCTGTCTAGCCACGAATATATACGAACACGCTCCAGCAGCATTCCTCCTTCGGTTTTCCGTGTTGCCAATTAATGAATGTCTTCGTGAAAAGTGCTCCTTTGAAATGAAAAGTTATTGCAAGGAAAAGTTGGGTTTCAATGAATCTCTTGTTTCATAATTATTGTGCTTACTTCAATTTCGAGTGAAAGTGTTTGAGGAAGAGATTCGAAGGTCGATTCCACCAGAAGACGACGGTGGATTCCTCTTTACCAGCTGTCGGTTGGCTTTACTTGAAGTTTCATTCTGAAGCTGTTACGAGGCAATCTCGCTCGATTCTAGTGAAAAGGTGCTAAGCTTTCGTCCGTCATATGACGAACATCCTCAAATGAAGATATCATCATAACAACCAGATTTAAGCTAACCAGTCAATAAAACTCACCGGCAAATCCCTAAAAAGCGGTATATATGCTCTATATCTGGCCTCTTTGACCAGATATAAAGTGTGATGATACTATGCTCTGATGATGTTCGTTATATAACAGACAAAAGCTTAACAACTTTTCACCGGAATCGAAGCAGATTACCTCGGAAACAGTGTCAAAATGAATGCTCTAGTAAAGCCAATCGACAGCTGGTCAAGAATAATCCGCCTTCATCTTCTGATGGAATCGAGCTACGAAAGGCTTCACCAAACTATTTCACTCGAAATAGAAGTAAGCTCAACAATTATGAAAATTTCAGTCAAGATAAACTATGAATCTCTCCCACTCAGCGCCAGATGAGAGACAAGAGTTACGGTGATTTGAAAAATGTGTAGGGCTTCTTTAAAATCCAGCTCTTATTCGTATTTCCTCCCCTCCCCACACTCTCGCAGAATGACCGTATCATTCGTTTTTCATTTATAAGTAGGTTGTCAAGACTACCAACCTCTAATATAAATAAAGCGTATCCCATCATTTTCGTCCAACGTGATATGAAGGCCAGTAGTTGAATTTTCCCAGAATCATGTGGGTAGAACATGCGTTTCCATTCAATTTCGCATAGTCTTGGTTTCCATACAGTTATTCTCATCCAGGATGCGATGGACTGAAATTTCAAAAACGCCTGAAATGTTCTTTCCAGCACCCGCAGAAGGAACGGAACCCGGATTCTGGAAATGAAGCGCATAATCTTGACACGTTAACCACTAGACTATATTGCCGCAAATGCCCTTGAGCCACGAGGTAAATGTGACTTTTAAGGAAGGCCTGGCATTTTTTCATATCAAATTGTGTTGTAAGATTGTCGATAAAGTAAGTTGTATTTGCTACAGCAATCGAATACGCTACTTATTATACATTTATATAGGTTTTCCAGACTATTTCTAGATGATATAGATGAAGTTTACACGCCCACACACACACACATATATATATATCCATACAAACATAAAAAATCACACTTTCTTACGGCATTCCTCCTTCGGTTTTTGGTGAGGACAAATAATAAATCCCTTCCAACAGAGTTTTTCTTCGAATTAGTTTCGTGACTACCAGTAAATCAGTAATATGATGAAGGACTGGTAGAAGAAGAATTTTTCCACAATGATATGAGTTGAGCCCACGTTTCCAATGAATTTCACATAGCCTTGCATTCCCAAAGAGTTTTTCTTCATAATGAAGTTCAGTCACCATAATATACGAATGTCTTCCACTCAGCACCACATAAGAAGCAAAGTATAAGATAACTTTGAATTGTTTAGGGCTTCTTTAAAATCTGGTTTTATTTTGTATCTCTGAAGGGCCACTACATGTTCAACTAATCCGTCCACCTCTCTTATTTGCACCCCACCCTTTCGCAGAATGGCTGTATAGGTCACGATTTTTGGCATTACTAAGTCCAGGATGAAGCTAACCAGTGATATTTGTCTCCTCTTCGACTTCTCAGACAGCCCGTCCGCCTCCTTCGATTCGACCAAACTTCCTCTCCCTCGGGAGCAGGCTTAGTTAAAATTAGCGCTCCAACCAACCGTCGGCAAATGGTGAGAATCATCGTCAAGACATCTGTTGCTAAACTGACCACCTCGTCTGTTTTGGACTCCGCACCTTTCCTGGTCTGTTCGGCTCAACTCTTGTCCATTTGGAAGACACGTCCCAGACCGACCGACCGACCGGCCGGATGGTCTATGTACCGACTGGTCGGGTTGCCATCACCAAGATTGTCTTTCTGGCCGCGGTCTAGTGAGTCACACCAGAGTCCTAACAACCATTTGTGCGTTTCTCCCTGGCATGCACACCCATAACCCTCCTTCATCTAACCTCCTCTTGTTCCCGGGCAAAACGGCCCACTTTTTGGAAGACTGTTTGTCCAGAGTCCAAAACGTGGGGAACGGAAAGATGGCCGCAAGAATGCGATTTTGGAAAGCTCGGCAGCGCCTTCAATCGCCGATCCGGCGTCTTTTGGTCCAGGCAGTCAGATAGATCTGAAAACCAGGCCAAAGGTGGCCCGAACCGTTGTCATGCTCAATGGTTCGCAGATCCTACCAAAGCGGATATTTCTTGTGGCATAATGTTAAAATCATCGAGTAATGTGGGTTTTTTGACCGAAGCGAGGACTAAGAACAGTGATTACTCTAATTCGCATGCATGGAGGATGAAGAGCCACCGAATAAGATGAGATGACTTGACTAACCTGAAGTCTGGTTTGGCACCCGAAAAGGCCAACCAACTCGCGAGTATTACATGCACACAATACACACGCATCCACAAAGCTTAAACAAACCTCAGGATTCACATAAAGAAACGCTGTGATCACAATCGCTCCCATTTCATACATCAACTTCACTCGTCTTCATGCATGTAGGACAAGTACAAAGTATCCAACCAAACCTTGGAATTGAATATACGAAGACCAAGATGTTTTGGCCTCTGGTATGGTCGCAGTCTCATTTCGATTTATAGAAGTGGGTTGACCTCGTTGTTGTAACTTGGTCTTGTTGTCAGGGCGATTTATTAAAATGCGCCTAGTCCAAAGTCGTCTGTCATAGTAGTTGATGCTAGGAATCATGACAACTACTATGGCAGACGACTTGGGACTAGGTGCGTTCTACTAAGTCACCCTGACAACAAGACCAAGTTGCAACAACGAGGTCAACCCACTTCTACAAATCTTGGAATGCCGCATTAAGATCGCAAAGTCACGGATATATGAAATAAATAGAACTTCAGCCGGCCACCTTCCTTGGTTTATTGCTGCTTAGTGGTTGTTCGAAAATAATGATTTATGTCTCTTTACATATCCGTCACCTGATCAAGGAAAGCTGAGCATGGAAGATGAGTCGGGGTCTTCTTCGCATAATCCAGCAGTCAAGGGACCAAGGCCACCCTCCTTCGGCAAAACCAATTTATGAATCCTTTACATCCGCCTTCTTAAGCGACATGAAGGGTATGCCAATAG